GGCTTACAAGTCATATGCGACTCTGTCTCCTCGCCGTAATGGAACGTTCTAGGGTCAATGCCCAGTTCCTCCAGCTTCTCCGGTTCCAGCGACTGCAAAGCCTGATCCACAACGAAGTCTTCCTCATCTTTCTCCTCGAGATCCTTTTCAGGGCTTTCTAATTGTTCTTCGAGGCCCAGAAACTTCCGGACGGCTTTGCGCTTTAGGTCGTAGAAGCCCGCCTCGTTTGCGTGGCTGATCTGGGCGAAGGCGCCGCAGCCATGGCATTGAAGCGGAAGCTTCTTCGCTGCAAGTGCTTCGTCCGTAGACGATTCAACCGGTTGGTCCAGGTCCAGGTCCACACCTTGAGAGTCGACATGAAAACATCGTCGTTGTCTTGTAGGGAGAACGAGAGGCATGTGTCCGTGGTGGTGGTTCGCACGCGTCGTGGACAAGCCCAGGGCCGGGCAAAGGTAACCAGGCAGCTCAGTGAGCAATGCTCGGTCCCCCATTCGCAGCGCGCTCCTCAGCCATTTTGAAGGTAGAGCTCGATGCATTACCAAATAAAATAAAATAAGAATGTCGTCTTTACAATGTTACAGAAGTCGCATGTTCGTTACGACGACTAAAAATAATAAATCCCAAGACGCGATTCCAGAATTTCCTCCAACTTTGACGAGCTATCTTATCTTATCGCTTCTAGAAGTACCTAGGTACCTACCTAGGCATCTTAGGTGCCTTACCCAATTCTTATCTTATCTGGATTAATCCGGCCCGGTCCCGTGAAGTCGCAGGACTCGATGCAGTACATTTTTCTGAGCATCCGCATTCACTCGACCACGCGACCGAGACTAGACCTCAGATCCCCGTGTGGAAGCTTCGGTCCAACTCGTCACAATGGTCGGCACAAGCCCAGCATCCAGATGGCACAAACTTCGTACGGTAAGTATTCAATTACCTCAATACCGGACCAATTGATACATTCAACCTTTTGCTAACCAGTGAGATAGAAAGTAGGAATCCTAGAAACCGTCCCCGTCATGAATGACACGACAGAGCAGCTGACATTCCGCAGATCCTGAGGATACGCCACGGCCCCGGCGCGGCAATACTCCCTCCGTCTGTGACGAGAATACACATGGAGTTCGCGAAGACGTATAACGACGGCCACATGGGACCCAGGTTCGTCTTTGACCGTCCCTTTCACTCGTGCACCTTCGACCGACGAAATAAATTGCCCCCCATCCTCGGAGCGAAAAGAAATCCGAACAAAAGCTAACAACCAACCCCGTTTGAACAAATCCAGGAGATTCTGGCGCGACATGCTCCCCCGGCTAAAATACTACAACCCGGCCATCCCCATGATCGTGAACCGCAAGGAGACAAACGAAGGCACCGCCGTCATGTCCGTCTACTTCCGCAAGGACGACGCCCCAGTAGCAGCGGGCCAAGAGCCCGTCGTCCGCGTCCAGCCGCCCTCATCCGCCATCGACGCCTCCAAAGCCGTCGACCCCGCCGCCGACGAGCGCGTCGTCAAAATCGATATGAAAGGGAAGCCGTCCGACGAGATCTTCAACCACTTCTTGGCTGAGACGCGTGCCCAGCCCGTCCAAACTACGCCGGAGGAGGAGGCCGAGATGCGCGAGGTGGTGGAGATGCAGCGCCAGGGCGCCATCGACCGGGAGATTCAAAGGGTTAGGGTGGAGGAGAGACGGCGAGAGAGGGCTATGCTCGAGAGGGCTAGGACGGCGGGAGCGGCGTAATAATGCGCATGGCACACGCGGGCTCATGTATGAATATTTGTATAAAGCTGTACTGTGTACTCCGTAGCAAACACCGAAGCCTCCAGAGTTGAAAGTAAAATCAGGGGCGTCCTGGCGTATGGTATTGGACTGACAATCCGGGATCACATTGCCCCCTTTCCCATTTGCCGTTGCCATAACTCCTCGCAATGATGATACAGGATATACCCAGGAAGTTCGTCATTTTTAAGAAGAAATGATACAGGCTCCCACACAGTTCATTTCAAGCCAAACCCTTCGCTCTCATGCACCGCGGTCCAGAGCATATGCTCTAATCGCTCCCGTGATCCGTAGCGGCGGAGAGAGAGCATGTTGAAGCAAGTGCGCGCAATGGGATACCGCCCTTCGTCATCCCCTAGGCAAGAGATCTTGATCGGCAGGATCGAAGCGCCCATGGCAGGTATCCGATCGCTTCCTGTGATGAATAAGAGGAGCCTTCGTTGCTCTTTTGGACACGCCCGTTCAAATGTTTCCCAGAACCATTGGATCACAGGCACCACTCCATCCGGTTTCTTGGTGCCCCAATTGTCGTATTCGGCCACCGCCCTGAGCGACTTGATATCAAGTGGCGCATCCGAACCTCTGACGAGGAGCTCGATCTCCTCGGGCCGGAACAGAGATAACGCGTTACCCCCGCAAACCGTGTAGAAGCCCCGTTTGAAAGGCTCGAACTGTCGCACCACCGCGGCTTCTAAGACGTATCGGACGTATAAGTCCACGTACTCCTTCCGGTTTGAACTAGTGACGCTTTTTGTCTCGCCTCCGGAACACAGTGGGACCTGCGATATGGTGCCATATCTTTCGACCGGGACGACGAAATCAAGACCAAACACGTCCTCGACCTCCCCCTCATAGTCAAGTAGCTGTTTGAGTCCCGCAGCCAGGCGGGGGCGATACTCGGCTAGGTCCTCTAGGTTGTAGGTCATATTCGGTCGCGGATGTGCCGCGGAGGAAGATGAATACGAAGGCGCCGATGCGAGTAGCTTGCGATAGGCAAACGGCGGCAGTGCCACATCGAGAATGGTCGAGTTATATATGGCGAGACCCAGCACAACCCCCACTAGGAAGAACTGGTCCGATGTCTCAAAAGAGTTGGGGTTGAAGTAGCAGAGATGGGAATCCTCATCGTAGACGAACATCCCTGGCGCAACTGTCAGCGGTTGAACCCGGACTGGACCCTGGATCGGCTTACCGTGGTCAGGATTGAAGACCTCCCGCACGAGAAGGAGGAACCACTCCTTGCGAAGACCTCCGGCATCATAGCCTTCCTCGCCCTTGAAGACGATTCGCAACCTTTTCTTGATGTCTTCACCGCCGCTCCCGATGACTTCGCTGACGGCCGCCAGACTGTCTTCAACCAGGCACTCCCGACGCACGTCGAGCGTTAGGTATTGGTTGATGTTTTTCCGCGTCATGATGCTGTCGAACAAGGCATCGCGCGCTTTGCTCGTCATTTGCCGGCGAGCATCGTACTCCAGGATTTTGGATTTGGCCCAAATACTGAGCAAGAAAGGATACTGGCAAAAGCAGAACTTGACCCTCGTCGACTCCCAGGCCTCGAAATCCGCCACGAGGTCGACACGGTCGACCATACTGTTGTAGAAATCGCTCGTTGGCAGCAGCTGACCATAGGTCTGAACACCCTGCCGCAGAATAACGTTACTGTTGCTTAACGCCGACGCGTCTGCCTGCCTGACATTGAGCGTATTATTGGCAGCAAAGAGAAGCGCCATGACTCGAGCAGCGGCAGGGATTTGCCAGTCGTCAGGGTACAACATTTTCTTCGGCATTTCTTTGGGTTTCCTCGATGCGCTGGGTGTGCTCAGAGCAGCGTGAAGTGACGCCGCCGAGGGATCATTGGTCATGTTGGGGATCAAGCCGGCGGTAATGTCCACCCTGGCGTCTTGTTTCTTATCACGTTGGCGAATGAGCCTGTATGTTAAAAAGCCACCGACCAAGTCCTTGGTCGACGCGAATGCCGACTGGGAGTACCTCGCGAACCAGGAAACCAAGTGAGTCTGACAGGTGCTCGATGCGTTGGACATTAGACCTACAATTCGTTTGATAATGCCAGAATGCTGTCCCGAAACTGGGCCGCGCCTTGGTAGATGCCGAGTGCCCCCAGCTGAGGGATTCCTCCGCCGAGGCGAGGCGTCGCCGGATTGGAGACTGCCGCTGAAGGCCGCAAAGTTGTCATGGAGGAGGGGGTTATGCATGATGATCAGAAGAAACCGTATGTCACTTGGGTCCTTCATGGGGCGCCCGGGCCGTTTAAGTAACGTCTCGGTAGCCTTCAGCAGCACCCGCTGGAGGTGATCCTGCGCAGCTAAGAGAGTGGCCTCCAAATCTCGCAACACAGATACCTGCAGCGCTTCGAAGTCGTCTTCTGCGCAAAGCTGATCGTAAATGGAGGGCCAACTTTCTGCTGCGTTCACCACCGCGGCATACCAGTCTGATGCCCGGCCCCAATCCACCTGAGGGGAATGCGAGGTGATTATAGAGGGAGTAGCCACCGACGGACGACGCCGTTCCGACTTGCTCTGTGGAGGGGGATCCTCCTGCACACCGGTCCACCACATTCCGTTTTCCGCGACGTCGCCGAGCAGTAGGAGTTTCGGGTCTAGATCGCATACTTGCGAAGGCATGTTCGCAGGCTCTTGACGAGTCGCCGCCAACGGTCGCCTGGTCGTGACGAATTTGGAGGGCGAAGCTGCGTGTGTTGAGAGGTTGGTAAGGAAGGAATTATTCACACGGTGGAAAGACCCGAAGCAAGATATGATGTAATTCTCAACGGGCTTGAAGATCAGCTTTGCATCCTGATCTGTCCGTGACGACGGTTCTCCAGACCGAGGCGTGCTTTCGTCCGCTATAAGGTCATGCACAGGTGGACGACCGGGATACGAAGACGAGTAAGACCGAGCAGTTGATGGGTCCCGGCGAGGTTCCAGATGAAGCGTCGGCTGTTGGAGAAATTGGAATTTTGATGGCGTTTCGCTGGTTGGGTCCCATGAATGTTCGTCCTCAAATGGAGATACGGCTTGCAGGCCAGACATCGCAGAACGCGCCGCGGTCCCTCCATGCTGAGCCTTGGTGGCAGCCGAGGCGAGATATGCCCGAATGCACTGGTATACCAATGATCTCGTGTGCTCCAACGAAATCTCGCCTGTATCTGTTCTGTCGGCCTGACGAGTACTGCTCCTAGGGGGCGAGGACGAGGCGTCGAGAACAGGGTTTCGCAGCCAGCGCGGGGCGTCCTCGGATCGGGGTTCCGGGCGATGGTCTGGGTGGACATCGTTGATGGTGACACAAACGGTGCATTTGAAAACCCTCAGCTCCCTGGGCCATCGCACAAGGGAATTGCAGGTCATGCAGTTTCCCGTCACAAAATCCCGACTGCCACCCGCCATGTTCCCCCTCTTATGAGATTTGCCTTGGGGCGGTCGCGGTGGGAATCCGTCGTCAATTTCGGAGTCAGAATCAGGGTTGATGTTGATGTTAGGGCGTTGTTTTTTCTTGGATAATAAGTAGGGAAACGGATGGCTCACAGACCGCGCATGGCCGGGACGGCGTGGTCTGGGAGGGTGGAGGTCTGATTCAGAAGAACTCGAGCCTGCGTTGAGCTGAGGGTTGTCGAAAGCCGGTGAGTTAGGTAGCCGTGTAAAGTAATGCGGCGGCGCATTTAGCGGGGTGGTATGGAGTCGAGTGACGAGATCCTCGTAAGCAGTGGGTCGGTGTGGTGTTTGATGGTGATATCTGAGACCAGAGGCAGAACCTGACTCGCGGCCAGGGGATGATGGTGTAGTTCGGAACGCAGGAGCTGGAAGAGCTGAGGCAAATGGTAGAAACGCTCCATCCTTTGGAGGAGGTGGTGGAGGTGGTGGTGGAGGAGGTGGTGGTTCGGAAGGTGGAGGAGGGACGGGACGACGAGCTGGCCATGGAGTCATAGTGGACTCGAGTACAGGGGCAAACGTAGTTGCCGGTGATGGGAAGTAACTGGCATTTCTCAACCCGAATAATCGGGAACAGTTTCCCTACTCGGGGTGACACCCGTGAAGACAGGATTCGGAGGAGGGAGCGATGCTCAGAAGATGTTTTTGGTCGTTGATATTACCGATATGGACGAGGAATCTCAAGAACAGGGGGTGTGGGTTGGGTTGGTTGAGGTGTGTGCCCAAGGTGCCTTATTGAAGTAAGACCTTTAGATTCCTATGTCGGCCGCAGGCGAGTAAGTTACGTGCAGATGGCCGGAAAGACGGGGGAATTAAACAACCAGAAGGTTGCAGTCATTGATGAAGGGCCTTTGATGAAAGCTCTGGCAAATGGTCGCGAAGAGAGCCCCCCGGAGTTTCTGAGGCAGCTGGCAATGGATTTTGGAAGAGTGCACAGGGCAGGTCAAGCAGGATAAGGAACCAGTTCAGTAACGACAGTAGCACGGAGCAACAGGGAGAACTGTATGAAATGATCACGTAGAGACCAACTGATTATCGCGATATCCACTGCCTCTCATCTTTCGACTTGAGAATCAGGTGAGAGAAGGGGAATTAAAGGAGGAGGTGAAGGAGAGATGCAGAAACCAACCTGAAGCTCGTATTCAACCAAAAGTTGGGGAAACCCCATAATTACTATGCTCGTTTTACACGTACTGGAGCGAATCACAATGGAGACCCTGACGTCGAATCCCTGTACACAGGGCTGCTTAAGAGGCTGTGAACGACTAGGTACCTAGGTACTAATTCCCGTAGACGGACTCAGTTCCGTGACTGAAGTTATTAGGTAGGGTTGGGTGGGACCAGCACCTTCCGGGATGGGTGGGTGGAATACATAAGGTACGTACGAAGTACCTCTACTGAGTACTTGGTCCATAGGTACCTGTGCAAGTACAGGCAAGGTCACGGTTGACAAGTTGAAGAAGTGATTTATTGATTTATCGACCAACATTCTCGGGGCGATTCAACTTCAAATATGTATCCGTACGCACGCATGTCGTTCGTTTTGGAATTCGGTTGAAATTGACGTTGTTTCGCAGTGCCTTGCAACTTGTGCTCGTCTATCCTCATGGGAGCCCGTTCCACAACACCATGGTATCACAGCTCAGGACAACCATCTTTCTCATCAGTCATCGCTCATGACATCCATGTCACATCCCACATCCTATATCCCGGATAGGGCTTTGAACCTCTACTCCCGATTATTACACCCAAGTATGCGAGCCTACCCTAATTCTTATTTTTTTTTTGACATACGATGACTGGCATGCAAAACGATATCCATGGACCAGACATCTCGTCGCAAAACAAAACCAGCCTGGTTCGTTTACACGCCGGTGGCGCCGTCGAAGACGATGGCTGCCTTGATGGCGCTCTTGTTCTTGATGCTCTCGAGAGCCTCGCCAAATTGCTCGAGTTTGAAGACCTTGTTAACCACACCCTTGGTCTTGACCTTGCCACTATCGAGGTAGTCGATGGTGGCAGCTATTCACCGCACAAGTCAGCCTTGTCTGCGCGCCACGCTAAATATCAATGACTACAGGGGGGGAAGGTAACACATACGGAACATGTAAGTCTCGGAGAATGAGCCAAGGATGGTAATCTCGTCGCCGAAAATTTTGGAAGGAGGCCACGAGACGCGGGCAGCACTGGGGTAAACGCTGCAAAATGGTGTTAGTTGACTGCAAGCACCAACCCGCCAATCGGTCAAGAACCAGGACTCCCGCTTACCCGTATACGACAAGCTTGCCGCCGCGTCGGACGTAGTGGATTGCATCCTCGAGAATCTTGGTGGAGCCGGTAGCCTCGACGACGACATCGAAGCCGTAGGGGTTGTCCTGCTTGAGCTGGGTGAACTGAACCTCAGGTTCGGAGCGGGAGAGCTCAACGTAATGGTCGGCGGCGTCAATACTCCTGGCGAGGTCCATCTTGAGGCCGGCCGGGGCGGCAATGGTGACGCTGCAGCCACCGTTGTGGCGCATGAGTTGGGCGAGCATGAGACCAGTGGGACCGGCACCCAACATGAGAACACTAGAGCCCAGGCGGGGTCGGATCTTGTCGAGGCCGTGGCAGGCACACGACGCAGGCTCGAGAAGGGTGGCGTCGACATCGGTCAGGTTATGGATCTTGAACACCTTGCCGGCGGGGTAGGAGCAGTACTCGGCGAAACCACCATCCATGGTGACGCCGTGAGCCTCGAAGTGCTCGCAGAGAAGCGTCTCCCCACGACGGCAGTAGAAGCACTCCTGGCAGAGTTCGCTATTGTCGGCCGCAACGCGATCGCCAATCTCGAAACCCTTGACTTTCTATCTCGCGGTTCCATATTAGTTCATCTCCTTGAGACAGTTCCAGGCGGTCCTTTTAAGGAAATAATGTGAGGACATACGGGGCCAACCGCGGCGACGACACCGACAGTCTCGTGACCGGGAATCAAAGGAAACTTGGCAATGAATTCGCCCTCGTGGATGTGCTAGAGCCGGTGGCCATATATTAGCCATGCTTGATTATTATCTCCCTGTGTTCGTCGTCAGGGGTGGGAAATGGGGAATTCCCGTACGAGATCTGTCGTCCGAAAACTTTCGTCAGTTCCCAAGTCACGAACCCGAGGGGTGCATTTAAGGGGAGATGTAATGTTGCTTTGACGTACCAGTTCCACACACACCGCAAGCCCGGACCTTGACAAGGACATCATTCTCCCGCAGCTCAGGCAGAGGGACCTCGACAATGGACCAGTCCTCCGGCTTCTCGTAGCTGCAGGAAACGGTTAGTCTGACTGTGGCGCGCCACGAAGCGCAGTGGACCAGAACCGTTTCTCAGGTCATCGAATGCCGTCAAACACCGAGGTATCCGTCCGCAGGTCTGGCACGGTTCAAGGCGAAAGTTCCATAGCTTGACGGCAAGGAAGAGACCATCACATACCGGAGAGCCTTCATAGTCTTGGGAAGGTCAGCCATGGTGACTAGTTTGTAGAGTTGTGGATAGGAAGTAACTGGGGGAGTCTACGATGATCTAAAACAGATACACAATCATTGATTGGAAATAAACGGGATGATACAGGGGGAACCAGAACAGTAATCGCCATTTACGGGAGGAAAGAGACAGGACCATTATATACAGAGTATGGCCGCGGGGTCAAGCGGCGGTCCCTACCACAACCTCAAGCATTCCCGGGGTAGAGGGACAGGGGCTAAGGGGAAACCCGCAGATCGTATCCACATCTTTGCCCAAGCACGGTTGGGGAATCAGGACCAGGGTTGGGAGAAACCTGGCTGATGGGTGGGGTAACGGGTTGGTTGCATGGGGACTGATGGAAGAAAGTGGACGAGTGGGATCGTATCGTCGGTTCCCCGTAGGGTACTCCGTAGTGTGTCGAGGTTCGCCTTAGGCCGACCTTGGCCTTGGAATTCACCAACTTGACCACTGGTGAGTGGCGACCGGGCGTTAATCAGTGCAAGGGATGGGTGTGAACATGGTGGCTAAAGGGGAAGAAGCGTCTAGCACTGTCCAGACCGCTTCATTGCTGCCCGCATATTCCCCTTTCCTTTTTTTCTTCCTTTCTTTTTTCTCCTGTTGGCATGAGGTTGTGAATGGGACCACCTGCGCACCGCTACCCGTTGATCGAGTGGGGACCTGGACAGGCAGTGGATGCGGTCCGAAATAATAAATGGGGACCGACATCGCAGAAGCTGGGTATGGAAAGTATAAAGGACGGACGGGAATAACGCAGACGTGGAGGGTTCGACGACGAGGACAAGTATTCTACTGTAGCAAACGCTGAGTGTACTCGGCAAGCAAGGGACGCCGCGTCCATCCTCTGCTGCAATGCCTCTCGCTCTAGCTCGCGCCATCTTGGACATGTCGGACAGCTCGCACTTATTCGGTCGCAATATCGGTAGGCCTCACGGTCTGGTACTGTACTCATATTTGCGTGGTGGTCGACCCGCACACACAGGTCAGACCCCCAACGCCGAGGGAAGCGCACATCGCCGTTTTGATCCGTTTGATGCGTTTGATTTTCATCGGAGGGCGATACTCAAGGGCATTTTAACGCCGGTACTTTGGCTTAGTGCTAAATGAATCGTTTTTACTCCCGGATTATTAGGAAACCTTAGTGGCAAATGCTTACCGGCAGACCTGACCATCAGATAAGGGGGATGAGGGTATCTTTGTTGCCTACCTTACCTTAGGTATAAGGTAATTACTGCACGAAGTAATTAGGTACTCAGTACGTCTGGAGTGGAACTTCGTGCTGAGGTGTCAATCCTCCCGTCCCCGGGTCGTTGGGGCGGGAGTCTTTCAAATGCACGTGCTTCGTCCGAGCTTCTCCGGGTCCCCTCCCGGCCACAATCGTGTTACGCATCTCCGTAGGATACTTCGTTACACCGTCTGCATCAGCATGTCGACTGGCTCTCGAAACCGCCACATCGCGAGCACTATCTGTTCAACCAATAGCCAATACATCGAGTACACTACTACACGTACATGGTCAACACTGTCGTCTACCTTGGTTCCTCAATGGTCATTGCCTATCTGGGTCCCATGGTAATTCGTGGGAGTCGAATCTATCCCAACAACCGATCCAAGATGCAGGAAATGACAACAAACCTCTGATAACGAGACCAAATGGGGCCTAATGAGTGAAGCCAGTGAACATGTTGTGTTGATCTCAAGGCAACCCAAGCCGTGTGTCCATCCTGACCTGCCTAATCAAGACCCCTCCTCTTGTTCATCCCAGGGTCTGGTTAGCAGAAGGAATTACTAACCTTGTTGAGATCCTCATATACCCAAACACAGCTTGCATGTCATACTAGAACAGTTTGGGGTGTGAGCCAAGTCATCTTCGCACCCGGCCAGTGTGAGTGTGAGCTGGACCCGTCATTCTCAACAGAATCATACTTGTGTTCCCTCATTCCAGCTGGACGAGGACCCCACGGCAAGGCACTGCCAAGAGTAATAGTTCGTACTGGCTTCTCAGGCAGTTCGATTCCTAGTTACGCTGGGACATCCGCTCTCTTCGCTGTCGATGCATGACAAGGTCAATCTTTCTTGTTTGCTCAATACCTTATCAACACCAACAAAGTTCAAGTGATAGATAGTAGATGTAGCTCTGCATGCACTTCTATGGGTGGTGTGGGCAAGGCCAAGAGCTCGTTGTACATGGCACATGGATGGTCCTTAACACCGCTCCTTTGCCTTTTCGTTCCTTTCGGCAGATAAACCCATTTTGGGGACTTGTGAATGATGGTAGTATGTACCATGACAAGGCCGAGGTGGCTGCTTATATCGACGTTGCAGCAGACAGGATGACTTCCCCGCAGTCTGACTTCTACGAGTCCGGATCGTCGACTGCACAAGCTATCCGATCCCATTGCGCACGCGGATGAGCTTAGAAGGGTCAGTTAAATCTTCTCCGTTTCCATGCCATAAACCATTATGCCTTGGGAATGCATTATCACCGCTAGTCTACTACCTAGACTACTACCTAGATGCATGCAGCTCTTGGTGACACGGTCCACTCGCAGCTATGGCACCTCGCAACAACATACCAGATATCTACACCTATACGCTGAGTAGCTCCGCATGCCGTGACCCACCCCATGCTTTGCTACCAGTCACACAAGTCCATATCCACCATACATCACGTCGGGATCAATGAGTCTTGTTCGGACACAAATTGACCGAGATGAGAATTGCTTGGAAACAGTACTTTTGAACCAAGACCGTCCGTCACACTCACTACCTTAACAACCCCAAACGCCTTGGGCTTGATAGACAACGCGAACGAAAGTCTGTTTGTTGGGTGGACAAGTATTCAGAACGAGTCCGGATTTGATACCCCGACTCTTCAGTGACCCTTCAGTTGTTGCTGTTGTTGTTGTTGTTATCGTGAAGACACCAACTCTCGGCGCCAGTCCTCCTGCCCTCGCACGAACACGGGCCGCTCCGCGGTTACGGTAGCGCTGCACCTCACGAACGATTCAAATGAGTCCCTAGTCGGTTGCCTGAAGAAGTGTCCGTTGATGCAAACGCGATATCCGAGGATCTAACCTCCAAACTCCCTACGATGTGTCCCCCGTAGTCTGTGTGACGTAAACCCGACGCGCGACTATCCGGCCCTCCACTTTTTAAAATACATGTCGGTGCCTTTTCTTTAATTCGCCCATGCGTCTCGTGAGGTCAAAGCCCTTAGGAAATAATTCCCCCTTTTACGAGGGAGGAGCACCGCGGCCACGGCCGAAGCCACCACGGCTGAAAGACGCATAATGTCAGCAAACTCAATCCGTCACAAAAACCTCGAGAACGAGCGTGTAAAGGGGCTCTTACAATTGCGGGTCGAAACCAGCGGGCGCACCGCCCTCCTTGCCCTCGCCAGCATCCCGGCGGCGGTAGGGACCCTCACGATCACCCCGGTCGCCGCCACGGCCGCGGCCGAACGGCCTGCGCTCGCGCTCGCCCTCACCCAGCATGCCACGGGGAGGCGCGTGCGACCGCTGCTGTTTGATGTGGGTAGCAGGGACGATCTCAGCAGGCAGGTGAAGCCATTCCCGGAGATAGTCGAGACCCTCGGGGGTCAGGGTGTAGTAGTAGTATTGCCAGCTGAACCGAGTCTTGACATAGCCGCGGGAGTTGAGCGACTGGCAGGCCTTGATCACGAACAGGTTCTTGGTGTCGATATCGGGGTGCTTGGGGAGGTTGAAGTCCTTCGCGGCGACGAGGACACCCTCTCGGAAGAGGTACTGCTCGGCAACATTCGCGTCAGTGGCATTTTCAAACTTCGTTTCCCTCTGGCACCACCAAAAACCCGAGCCGGGGGAATCCTGTGGTGCTAACCTCGTGGATCTTCTTGCGGTCAGCCTTGGGCATCAACATCGTGGCGGTTGTTGATCGACTCGACGTTGAAGAGGGGTGTGTCGTGAGGCTTGCGAAAGATCTATCTCCAAGGATCACGGAGGAAGGCGAAATGTTGAACTTTGTGTGGGCAAAAACCCTGGGGCTAGCGAGGTGGGGAGGATACACCACACCTTCCAGATTCCTGGTCCTTCAGCCACATGAATGTGGCTGGTGGACACGTGACTAAGATTCTGATAAGATAAGATTCCGGCTTTGGTGAGGAGGCTGGAGGCTCCTTCAATCCCGTACCTGCGCGTCCAGATACTCACTCACCTACTACCTACCTTACGTATTTACCCCGAGCATCGGTTTGCCAATATCACGCAAGGCGCCAGATCTGCAGAGTCGCATGCTAGCTGTGCATTTATTCACCCAGTTCAGTTGTCTCTCCGGAGATTTCGACTCATAGTTGCCGTCCCCTCATCTATTAGTGTCTTGCGATTCGCCACAGGACCGCCTTGCGACAACAGACAAGAAGATCATCACGGCAACTGATTTGTGGTGACGCCCATACACAGAAAATGTCGCCCAGGAACGTCAACGTGTTTGTCAGCACCTTTGCTGGCCTGGGGGTGCCGCCAACTCTGGTTCTGCCGATGCCTGCGTCCACTGGACTCTCGGACGTCCGCAGGAGAATTGAAGAGCGACTGCCCGAAACGGACACCAGGCTTATTCTGACAACTGTATCGAACAAAGACGTATCGGAACCCTCGTTAACGACTCTTTCGGACTTGCTCTCGTCCTTGGAAGATGACTTCGTTTCTCTCCGCCTCTCTGTGCCCCTCTGTGGTGGCAAGGGTGGCTTTGGGTCCCAACTGCGAGCCGCCGGTAGCCGAATGTCGTCGAAGAAAAAGCGCAATCAGGGGGACGCCAACGGATCAAGTCGGAACCTGGCTGGTCGGAGGTTGCGCACAGTGACTGAGGCGAAGGCTCTGGCTGAGTACCTAGCCATCAAGCCTGAAATGGAAAGGAAAGAGAAGGAGAAGCGGCGGGAGAGGTGGCAGCAGATTGTCGAGGCGGCCGAAAAGCGGGAGGAGGAAATCAAGCACGGTGGCAAAGGTCGCATTGACGGAAAGTGGGTGGAAGAGAAGGAGGAGGTCGGCGAGCGAACCCGCGAGGCTGTCCGGGCTGCTATGCAGGCGGGAAAGTACAAGGGCGACTTGTTTGGCACATCAACCGGATCGACCTCATCTGAACCTCCCGACGAGAGCCTGTCGGAAGACTCCCCAGAGCAAAGCGGCTCCGAGGCATCTAAAGAGTCTACGCCAACAACAGAGCCATCCAAGACCGAACGAGAGAAACCACGGACTTTCTTCGGGTTCGACGAGGATGATGAATTCATGAGCTCTGACGACGAGGAAACCGAGAAGAAATGATGGCAGCCATTCTAGTTTGATTGACTTGGAAGTGTGCGACAAGTTTATGTGTCAAAGGGACGGGTATTGGCGGAAATGGGGTTCACATTCATGGCGTTTTCGAGAAACAGACACATGGTCTTGACGTTGTCCTTATTTTCTTCTTTTTGGGATCGGCGAAAGCGTTGGTCCATTTCAAAGACAGATCAGTATATGAACCGAGTTTGTGGTGCAGCGGAAGATGCCTCATCCAATTGTCTATGTGATATCTCGCCATTGCAGGGACCTAATACACTTGCCCGAAACTACGTCTCGCCTACTTGAGGCCCTCCATTACTTCTACAACATCCACCCTTATACGTTAAGGTTGACGGGGAAGTTTCCGGCCTCTTTCAGCTTATTAGTGATGCTGATGACGACATGTGATGATAGGGAGAAGGGGGGACTGGTTCGTACCGCGTTGTTCATCCCAGCGATTGTACCATCCCGAGGGGCATAGAGACCGGTAGGCCAGGAAGAACTAGGTCTAGTCAGCTTTACATGCATAGCATTCAATTGATTCCAATACACCCGTACCTGGCGACAGGGAGCAAAGTCCTCGCCCTTGGCAATGAGGCACTTGTGGTAGTCGACGTAGTTCTGCCAGCAGTGCTTGGTCTGGTTCTGGTTCGGAAAGCGGGCATCGGTGCCTAGAATAGCTTTTATCAGAAAAAAAAGGCCTGCCATGTCGATTGAAATTACATCAAAGGTATCGCGGGGGCAATCGTACCGGCTGCAGAGTTGTCAAAAGTTAGCCTCGGATGATCAGGTCATTTAGCCGTCGAGGGTTTTCCTAAACGTACCTGTCACGAACTTGAAGGGCTTGGTAACGAGTTCCTGGTCGTCAGACATCGTGACAGATTTCCAAGGCCAATTGTCAAGGTGGAGTGTGAAGCTTCGGGGAATGCGCTGCAGAGGCGAGATGTGGTCTTGGTTATGTCCGTAATGAGGTGTGTTTCGGTCATTGACGAGAATCGTCAGGTGCTGTCCGGTTGAAAGTATGTGGTTGCCTCAGGCAGCCAATGAGAGCATTGTGGGCCGAGCTCCGATCCTCCCCAAGAGAACATGCCGAGAGGAGTTGACCACTCAGCGCAGAGCCGAATCTCCGACATCAACCACCACCGCTTGTCAATTCTCTGGTTCCATTCTACCTCGCCTCGTCCACAGCGCAGTTCATTCAGTATCACCGTCGTCCAAGATGCGTCCTACACTCGGTCTTCGAATGTTTCGCCAGACTGCGCGTCTGAGGTCTCCTGTTCCTGTAAGTGGCCTTTTTTCCCCCGAATAATTGAGTCGATAACGTATTTGTGCCAATCAGCTGACCATGACGTGACCTGCATAATAGAAGGAGGACCAAGTCGGTATGTGCAAGAAATACCAATGAAACCCTGCCATTGGCGTCCACGATGGCTCTTCCTTTCGAAGAAAAGCGCTGCAGCGGCCTATATGTCAAATTGGGGGAACTGACTCGTGCCCTGTAGGCCATACCGTCTCGCAGCGACTTCGCAAGCTCAAGAATATCCCTCCTGAGTTGATTCCCCTTGGTACGTTAGGAGCAGAAATATTGTTCAGGACCACTTTCTCACAAGGCTATTTTAGGTCTTGTCGTTGCATTTGCCGTCGCTGCTGGAACCTATTCTTGCGTCCGCCATCTCACGACCGACAGCACCATTCGTCTCAAGCGCCAGGGTGGTTCACCTACGAACGAGGCTCTCGAACATCATTAAGTCTAGGCGGACGAGGGCATATATGGGCAGATTTCGTACGACACCAAGGTGCTGTTAGGGGTGCTGTCGGGGGCGATAGATTGTATATGTTGAGCGAAAACACTTAGGGTCTCACTGGAGCCAGAAATATCGCATTCCATTTGTCTCTCTCAACCCGTCTAAATGACGACAACAACCATGAAACCTACATCATTTATCCCTCTAAACGCCACTGCTATGCAAAGACCGGTCATATTGCCCTTCCTTCTTCGATTTTTCATTCCGGCTTCGGCCCTGCGACGTCCAGTTCCTGCAGGCCCTGCATTGGATCAGAGCCCGCTGCATCCCGGGCTTTGGCTTCCTCGGCTGCCATCTGGTCCTCCTCGCTCACAGCGTGTGTCGCAAGCCATGCCTCCTACGCGTCAAGTTAGTTATGAACCGTCGCCGCACCGGATTGGCGCAACGCACCTGTTGCCAAACTGCCGTCTTGCTGCCGAGTCCTTCCTCGGCACTCTTTGGCACTTTGGCTGCAGAGACGTTGATAATGCGACCAAAGAATTCGGACTGATCCATGTTGTCGATGGCTTCCGCGGCATCTTCTGGATCCGCAAATTCCACGTAGGCGAAACCCCGGTGAGTCTCGGTGCTGTTTGGCTTGTCATTCTCGGGGAGTGTCACGTCTACAATGGTGCCGAAGGGGATAAATGCGTCGTGCACATGGCTTGATTCGACCATACTGGCCAAACCACCGACATAAACTGTAGATTTCCATCGAGCAGAGTCTGTCATTTTGATTAAATAAGGAGGGCGAGGTATTTGGCGTGGTCCTGAATGTTGATATCCATCACTCTGGGTGCGGCTCGCAATCGCGAGCTGGATGCATTTAGAGGGGTGCGTGTCACGAGCAGCGGGGCGGTTGCAGCTTTATATCACGTGACTGCTTCAACGCCGCCCACAAACATAAGGTACGTAATAAGATACTTCGCATAGCGTACCACCGATTAAGGTACCTCGAGCGCTCTCCACCCTGCTCCAGCCAGTGTTGCGTTGCAATCTGGCATCATATGAAGTGCACCTACCCTGCCAGCCAACTCAAACAAGCCCACTCAACTCTAGGCCACCAGCATTGGGGTTACGCACCTCCGACAGTTTCTGTGGCATTTCCGTCATTTTATGACAATTGCACTCGAAAGATTCGAATTGGCGACTAAATTGCTCCATCCTACAGCTCTGCAACACAACGCGTCGGTCATCTGCGAGCCCAGCTAGGGGCTGAGCAACTGATCATGGTTCGACTTCGAGAAATCCCCAGAACTGCGGCGTTTGCCTGGTCACCTGGCGCTGCTAAGCCATTGCTTGCTACTGGTACCAGGGCCGGTGCTGTCGATGCCGACTTCTCAGATGAGACGCAGTTGGAGCTTTGGGACCTCAACCTCGACGACGAGGATCACGGGGTTGAGCTCCAGCCCATCGCTTGCATCACCACTGAATCGAGGTAAGGCTGGATACAGCATATCCGTAGTAACATATAACACGTATTATACGTGAGCTCACCGAGTTTTGGCAGATTCTACGATATTGCCTGGGGCCAGCCCGACGAAGATCATCCACGGGGCATCATTGCCGGTGCTCTGGAGAATGGTTCCCTTGAGCTTTGGGATGCTGAAAAACTCATCGCAGGCGCCGGCGCCCAAGATGCCTTAATCTCTCGCGCGACGAAACACTCGGGGGCGATCAAGTCGCTGCAGTTCAACGCTCTTCGACCCCACATTCTGGCCACTGCTGGTGCCAAGGGAGAGCTATTTGTCTACGATATTACCGACATTGAGAACTCTTTCCGCCTCGGCACCGCTGCTGCTCGATCTGACGACCTCGAATGTGTTGCTTGGAACAGGAAGGTCGCACACATCTTGGCAACTGGTGGATCGGGCGGATTCGTCACTGTGTGGGATCTCAAAACCAAGAAGGCATCGTTGACGCTGAATAACAACCGCAAACCCGTAAGCGCCATCGCCTGGGATCCGAATAATTCCACAAAGCTATTGACGGCCACTCCCGATGACGGTACCCCGGTTATCTTTCTCTGGGATCTCAGAAACTCGAATGCACCGGAGCGATCCCTTCAGGGCCACGAGCAGGGCGTGCTCTCCCTCTCTTGGTGCCAGCAAGATGGTGATCTCCTGATCTCCAGCGGCAAAGACAACCGTACCATAGTCTGGAACCCTCAGACCGGGGAGAAGTACGGAGAGTTTCCCGAAGTGACGAACTGGACGTTCCTCACGCGCTTCAATCCTCACAACCCCAACCTCTCTGCGACCGCAGGCTTCGATGGAAAGATCGCAATTCAGACCTTGCAGAACACCAACTCCGACTCGCCGCAAGCCACTCAACAGAAGAATAAGTTGGACGATGAAGATTTCTTCAACCAGGCACAGACGCAACCGCAGGGGGCTGCATTCACGCTGGCCAAAGCTCCAAAGTGGCTCCAGCCTCCCGTCGGCGCGTCTTTTGGGTTCGGCGGAAAGTTGGTGATTTTCAAGCAACAAGCGGGCCAGCCAAGGGCTTCGAAGGTCGTGATTTCTCAGTTCTCTGTGGACTCCGAGATCAGTGCTGCTACGGAGAAGTTCGAGGAGACCCTGAAGTCGGGCAACCTTGCCAGCATCTGCGAAACACGGAAGAACCAAGCCGCCACGAAAAAGGAGGAGGCAGACTGGCATGTCATCGAGACATTGACCGCCGACAATCCTCGCAAACAGATCATTGAGTTCCTGGGCTTCACAGACGCGGACGTGGCCGAGAGCACTTCCGGCGAGGAGTTGACCGACCAAACGGAGACGCCAGCAGGAGATGATAAACAGGAACACGGCAAGGACAAGTCGTCAAAGGACGCGGCCGATTTCTTCGATGATGGTGAAGGTGACGGCGATGACTTCTTGAACGGCATCTCCGCAACCAAGGGCGCAAAGACGGACAACCCCTTCCATCTCCTCGGCGGGGACGACTCGGACGTTGACAAACAAATTACCAGGGCGCTGCTGCTCGGGAACTTCGCCAAGGCCACGGATATCTGCCTGAAGGAGAACCAAATTGCAGAGGCCTTCCTCCTTGCCAACTGCGGCGGCCAGGAGCTAGTTGACAAGGTCCAAGCTGCTTATCTGGCTCGCAAGAGCGGGCGTCCGAGCTACATCCGTCTCCTCAGTTCGGTCATCAACAAGAACCTCTGGGACGTGGTCTACAATGCGGACCTCGAGAACTGGAAGGAGACGATGGCTGTTCTCTGCACCTTCTCCGACCCCCAGGACTTCCCGGACCTGTGCGAGGCCCTTGGCGACCGGATTAACGAGCACGGTTCAAGGAAGGATGCCTCGTTTTGCTACCTGGTCGGATCGAAGCTCGAGAAGGTGGTGGGTATTTGGATTAGCGAACTGGAGGAAGCCGAGCAGGCCAGTGCCGAGGGGCCATCGGAGGAATCCACCTTCTCGATCCACGCGCGCTTGCTACAGCAGTTCATTGAGAAGGTTACCATCTTCCGTCAGGTGACTAAATTCCAGGACACGGATAAGGACGTGACGGAGGGCTGGAAGCTGGCCGCATTGTACGACAAGTACACCGAGTATGCCGACATTATTGCGTCCCATGGTCGCTTGGACGTGGCGCAGAAGTATCTCGACTACTTGCCCGCCAAATACGCGGGTGCAGACTTGGCCCGCAACAGGCTAAAGCTCGCCACCCAGAAGTCCATCCCTCAAGCTGCGGCGGCTACCTCCCGACTGCCCCATCGACAGCCAACGCCTCGCCAACCTGTCGTCCACCAACCTGTACAAGCCGCGGCCGCGAACCCCTATGTGGCCCCGGCGCCCGTCCCGGCAGCTGCGAGCACGAATCCCTATGCTCCGCCGGCACCGAACCTGTTTGCGTCTTCGGGATCCAGCCCGTACGCGCCATCCGGAGGATACCAACCGCCTATAACTATGGCACAGCCTGGGCAGCAGCCTACCACTGGCTACGGGCCGCCGGCTAACCAGTTTAGTGCGCCGCCGAGAAACCCGACGCCCTCCGGCCCTCCTCCTCGTTCTCAGGCCAAATCAACCGAAAATTGGAACGACGTCCCCATGGTTACAAAGCCACCACCTCCTAGAAGATCGACTCCAGGCTTGGCCCCGGCGACTTCTTCCTTTCCCAGCCAGCCCATGGGGTCTCCCCAGGCTCAGTTCGGACGATCAGGCATGACTCCTCCGCCGCCCCCACCGAAGGGAGCTGGCCCTCCACGGGTGACTTCTCCGCTAAGCGGCCCTCCCCAAGTCGCCCAGGGACCACCCAGACCATCCTCGTCGGCAAGCAATGCGTATGTCCCTCCGCAGGTTCAGCAACTGCCTGTGCCGGCCCAGGTGCCTCAGATACCTGCGCGGACGGCATCCCCCTACGGCCCGCCGCCAACTGGCCCCCCGCCCTCTAACCGCTATGCGCCTGCCCCCACGACGCTGCCGCAACCCGGACAGCCGCCCGTGGGCATAGGGATTCCGCCTCCGGGGCCCGCCTCCGTAAACCAGCCACCACCGCCCAGGAACCCATATGCTCCCCTTCCTGGTCAGCCGTCTCAAGCTGGCGGCGTCCCACCTCCTCCAGGCCAATTTGCACCAGCTCCTTACCAAGCATCGGCGCCAGTCCCAGGCCCTCCCCCTGCCGGGCGTCCTCTCTCGAGCGGACCCCCTCCTGCCTCCCAGGCGACGCCCCCGCCACCTCGTGCGTCCGCTCCGCCCAAGGCCAGACATCCACCGGGCGATAGGTCGCACATTCCGGCCCATGCTCAGAGACTGGTCGACATCCTAAGCGTGGACATGCAACGGGTGGTCAGCAAGGCGCCTGCATCATTCGCTCCGCAGGTCAAGGATACACACAAGCGGCTCAACATTCTCTTCGACCACCTGAACAACGAGGAGTTGGTGAAACCGGACACTATTGAGCAGCTGTCTCAACTCGCGGATGCACTACAGGCCAGGGACTACGACGCGGCCCACCGTCTGCAGGTGGAGATTCAGCGGGACAAGACGGAGGAGTGCGGCAACTGGATGGTAAGTGATAGCTATGTGAAGGCTCACGTACGTTTATGAGGGATGAATATGCTGACAGAGATTGTTGCAGGTCGGCGTCAAGCGGTTGATCAGCATGAGCAAGGCGACCCCTTAGGCTGAAAGTCTGGCCATTTCTTGGGGCGTGAAAGAGGTGGCTGGCGCAAAAACCATGACTATTAAGGGACTGACTCTGTGAGAGGGCCAGGCCGTGGAGCGTACTCGACGGAACCTATCTCGTACTCCACCCTACTGCCTTGCTCTTTAGGTATAGATCCCGGCATTACAAACAGAACGGAAATTATTTGTCTATGTTGATTACTTCCTGCCACGTGGATCATGCTATCGCTTCACGATGAGTGCCCTATATTGTCGCGTGTCTTGAGACGGACAGCCTTTATTTGATAAACGCCTAACTCTTCCTTCTTGATTATCTCTGGACAAGAAAATAAAAGAAAAAAAGGGGGGGGGGGGACCAGATCAACTTATCACAACCATCCTGGGGGTTTTGCGCCATTGCCACCGTGTAGAAGTGTAGAAGTGTCGGCGTTCTTCACCCTCTTCCTCAACGAAGACAAGCAAACGACAGTGGGCTTAGATGTTAACGAGCTTCGGATGAAGCCATCGCACAATGAGATGTGCAGCATCTTGTTCTTCCTAGTCTTTTGATTGTACCTCGAAGCTACCATGTCAAGTCTCGATATAAAAAGCATAGGGCTCCAAACAGATCTTATCCGTATTTTGACTGTTCAGGCGACGGAGCGGATGTGTTTGAAGGGCCTCGTTCATAATCTTCCGTATGGAATCCGCGATTCACAGTGTGGCTGTAAACCGCACAGGGCGCAACCTGTTTAGTAATCAAGAAAGTGGACATGAACCAAGTAGCTGTCAAGCAATACGCACTAGGTACCTTAGATAAATAGAAATTACCTTACCTTAATAAACGTCCACCTTCACCCAGACAGAGAGAACAGATAATGCACACAACATGACCGAAATTACACCAGAAGATGCCGCTGCCAAGCGCGCGGCAGAGCAAGCCCGTATTCGCAAAGAGCGCAGAGAAGCTAAGATTCGAGCTGGAGGGGCTTCGCGACTGGACAAAATCACTGGGCTTGGAGGCCGTGTCCCAGGTACGAGCTGAGCCCTGAGCTGCATCATCACGATGGGAACGAGGAGAGGACGAGAGAGATGACGACAACGGATGCATAGACTTGGACTGACACTTCTTGCGTGCCCAAAACACAGATGAGCCCTCGACAACCCCTGCGCCCGCAACCGTCACGTCGACGTCGACGTCGACACCATCACCATCACCGCCAGCGCCAGCGCCAAGGCCCGTCACCGAACACGCCGACCCAGAAGAGGTCGACATTTCTCAACATTTCTACCGTCCTTCCACCAGTCCCCGTCCTAGTTTTCCTCCCTCGTCCGCTTCCCCACCGGTCGATCCTAGCGCCCTCTCCGATGCCCAGCTGCGTCAGATGATGCTCGGCTTTGACCGTCCCGGTCCTGGTGCGCCTCCCGCTCCGGGCGACATTCCGATGAACCCGTTTGCTGCTGCTGCCGGTGCCGATCAAGACGACCCGTTCATGAAGATGCTCTCCCAGATGATGACAGCTGGGGGTGCTGAAGGAATGCCGGGGATGCCGGGGATGTCGGGCATGCCAGGAATGCCAGGGATGCCAGGGATGCCAGGGATGCCAGGGATGCCAGGGATGCCACCAGGGGGGTTACAGCAGCAGTCACAAAAACGGGCGGCTTCGAAAGCCGACTACACATGGCGCATCCTGCACGCCATCTTCGCCCTCGTGTTGGGGCTGTACATCATCCTCACGACGCACTTCAGCGGATCAAAGGTGCAGCGAGAGAGGACGGCGCTGGCTCTCTCCCATGCGGGCACCGATGCCGATGGTTCGGTCGTTCATGGTATGGAAGAAGGCAGGGAGGTATTTTTCTGGATGTTCGCCACGGCTGAGGCGCTGCTCATCACCACACGCTTTATGCTGGAGAAGGGGAAGCCCGGCGGTGCCGAGTCGGGGCCTCTGTGGATGGTGGCTGGCTTCCTGCCGGGGCCTTGGAAGGGACGGGTGGAGACTGCGTTGCGTTATGGACAGGTGTTCTCGAGCGTGAGACGGGATATCTTGGTGTGTGTCTTCGTCTTGGGAGTCGTTTCTTGGTGGAGGGCTTGAAAAGAGAACTTTGCCAACTAAGGGACATGATGGGCCGAGGAGGTGGACGATGGAGAATGGATGATGGATGATGGATGATGCAGCCAGGTCTTTATTCTTTTGTGCTAGGTCACCTGTGTTGATTATCTATGAGCCTAAATCCATGCGTTTCCTTTTTCAGGAAGCAAGATGTGAGCAGTCCATCAATCACCCGTGACCGAGCTTGCAGAAGGAATCGACTTGTAACCCAAAGGCGACTACCTTACTGAGTGATACCATTTCAACATCCACGGCAGTCAAGCCCACGTGACATGTCTCTCTGCTTAGGTACCTTAGGCATCTTCCTCATGCAGCTTCTAACTCTGTCATGGCTCGTCATGTCCCCTTCCCAACTCCAAACACATAATTACCTACATTACGGCGTCTTCATGCCCCATTTAGCAGTATGTATACGTACAGGCCTTCTCGATTTGACCGTCTGACCAATCATTGCCGCAGCACGAATGGCAACAGCCTACCTAGCACTCCCCTGACCCGTGCAGGGTTCTCTCGGGCACAGGCGAATACGACCGCCGCACTGGCGGCGAAGGCCAATGTCTCCCGCCACTGCTTACCCTCGGCGTAGCGGCGTGGGAACAGAGTGGCCAGCGCCCGCGGGGCCACGAACAACGCCATGTCCTTCCGCCTCGAGGCCGTCTCGATGAGCACGCTCGACCCGCACAGGACGCAGCCGACGCCGACGCACCAACCGCTGTCGATGGCCTGGCGGGTGGCGACGTCGGTGCCGAGGAGGCGCGGGCCGATCCTCGACCGGGTGAGGCAGACACCGTAATAGAACAGGGCGATGAAGGTGGCCAGGAAGGTGGAGGAGCGGCCGGCTGAGAGGACGGCGCGGGCGAGGGACCGGGGCGTGGGCGGCTTGCGGCGGATCCGGAGGGCCAGGTTGAGGGGGAGGTACATGGTCATGCTCCAGCGCCAGGAGCGAAGAAAGCGCATGAGGGCGTGGTATTCGCACAGCGGGCCACAGCCCATGTGCACCATCTCGCAGGGGATGGGGACAATAACGGACGGGTCCCCCCAGATGCGGGGCCAGCCGTAATCCTCGCACATGGGCTGCAGAAGCGCGGCTTGCCCCGTGTCCTCGCCGTAGCGGAGCTCCCCGCTGGAGCAGCGCTGGAGGGCCTGGATGAGACGGTCATCTACGGCGGCTGCGGAGGAGATCCATTTGTGGTATGATCGGGGTAGGCGGGAGCGATGGTAGACCCAGGCCCACATGATGAGGCCGGAAGAGCAAGCGAAGATGCATGGATCGGCTGACCGAGATAGTAGGCTCTCCAGCTGGGAAGATTGTCAACATGGATTCATTGGCTTGATGGGAGGGCTAGGAATGAAAATGACAAGGGCAAGGGCAACGTCGTGGGCTGACCTTTGTCCATTTCCGGTCTGCGATTCTTCGAGCTCGGCGACGAGACCACAACTCGCCTACTATGACGTCGATGGCGTGGGTGACTGCAAACAAGGACAAGTCCAGAGTGCGGCCTGCGTATCTGACCTCCTTCCGCTCGACTCCCGGATGGTCGTTGGACTTCATGGGGACCGACTCGGTAAAGGCGGGACTCTGCTTCGACTGCAAGAGACGTAAACCAAGGTAGGCGGGGAGGAACGTCGAAACCCATCTTGCGAGCCTGCGAGGCAGTTTTAGCAAGGACTAAACACCCAGAAATATACGGCGAAGTGGTTCGAGTTGGGGAGCGCATAGTCAAGGGCTTACCTCGTCTGAGCTACGTCACTAAGACTGGGTGCTAAGCGTTGACAGAGCCGTCGAATTGGGGCCTGTGAATTGTGAGTTTTTTTTTTTTCGTGCGAAAAATGGGACGAGACTTGATTCTTGTAGAGTTGTCTGGCCCTCGGCTCATCGTTGCGGATGGGGAAGTTCACACCCCGGCCACCGCGATGAAGACCAAAGGCCTTTTTCACGCACCTCAAGGATCGTACTGCCACCGACAAGGACAGCACAGAAAGTGGGAAAGGTCCTCCAGTCGAAGCCGGCGAGAATTATGCGACGTAGGGAAGTTAGGAGATCGTCATGTTGGTATTTTCGGGGTGAGGAAGAATCCTCGGTGGTGGAGTTGCGGCGTCTTCGAGCTACGGCGATTTGTCGAAGAAGCACGTTCAGGAGTTTGGGGCCGACGGAAGAGGCGTAGCCGATAAGGTAAGCCCTTATAAGGGGCCTCAGTGAAGGTGGGATTGCTCGAAGTTCGAGGATGTTGCTGCCACGGATTCGCACTTGGCCTTGTCGTGTCATCGCGTGAGGATTCGACTCTGGGGCAGTTTTGACCGTGTAAAGCAGTCCGGCCGTTAAAGGGGAGGTGTGAGAGTCCAGTATGGCTGAATACAATGGGTGGATATGAGTTGAAGGGAGCAATAGGAGCAGTATAGAGACAAAGTCACTTCGACAGAGGAACAATCGTCACAGTTTCCATGACGGAAATGGGACGTTTAGTCTTACCAAGGGTTCGGGGCGGTGGCGTGGCCGAGCTTCTGGCTTCCCCCAAGTGCAAGTGAAAAGCCTCAGTAATAAGAAGTAATAAGTGCGTAAGGTAACTAAGAACAGAGAAAGGTAAAAGTAAGGACCGGACAGTGGGTGGAAAGCTGGAAAGGAGAGACGATTACGAAGAAGAAAATGGAAGAGAAGTATAGAGAATGGACAACATAATAATGAGATGAGGAGATAAATCAATTAGTTACGGTGTGATACTAATTAATACTTGGTACCTTAGTTGTTGTTGGCAGATGGCAGATGGCTTTGTTCAACCCGTGAAACCCGAACCTGCGGATACAGCGTAGATGTAGGCCGAGGTTCGTCGCGTGCAGGGCGTGCAGCGTGTGCAGGTGCATTCATAGGCGCATATGTACGAAGTACTTTGTAGGAGGTGAAATCATGGAATGCAGGCCAGGAGAACTCGGGGGGATCCCGATCGTCGGTCAGACCTGTCGCACGTGATATACCTACATACACTCCGTGTGAAGTGCTTCTTGGAAACTAACAAGCTACCGTACCAAGCTGGCATGACAGGTGGACAGAGTACGAAGCATCCAGTTACAATTAGCGAAATCCGTTGGAAGGAAAAGTGTTTACTGTTCTTACTCCATATTTGTTACCGTGTCCTCGTGGTCGACTTTGTCTCCTTGGACGTCTTTCGTGGAGGTAGTCTCCTTTTGTGGTTTGTACAACGTACCACTCACACACCCATAGAACATCACGGCAGAGAGGCACCTAGCCCGATCCCTACCCCCCAAACGTTCTTCATCCGTGGCTTCGGGACTAGGTAATCCACTAATAACAGACTGAACAAGGGGTCAAATACCTAAATAAGTCGGTTTGGCTGGCTGACGCTCTATCTATCTATGCCGCTGGCACTGCAACCCAACTAACCCTTCCCCTGTCACTTGTCACGGCTCACGAGCACGAACCACCAGCACCAAGGTACGAAGCAATACCAAGCAGTAAGTCGTTTCAGTACGGAGGAAATACCTGTTTCATTACGGATACATACGTTCAACGTCCCCACCGGTTCCACAGGGGGTAGACGGGGGCAATGTTCGAGAAGAAAAGAAGAAAGGAAGAAAAAAGAAAAAAGAAGAAGAAAGAAAAAAAAAAAAGGGGGGGGGGGGGGGGAATGAAACAAAAAGAGACAGTGGTTGGTGTGCGACGCATAGAACACCGACTCCCAGGTACGAATATTTGTATCTCGACGAGGTCATTATTTGACAGTGACCGGCCTCTATGCCCGTTTTAGTCCTTTTAGTACTCTTGCATTGAGATCTTGATCATGCGCAACTGATGACCCCCTGACCGAGATGCGCCGTACTGCTTGGCCCAACTATCCGTGCCTACACAAGAAAAGTATCCATGAGTATCCATCAAGCACTGAAATGGACGAGACCTTCCTTCGAGGTTAGGTGACTGAATGATCTGATCAAACTCCAGACATGTGATTATTCCGATAGTACCATGATGCTGTTAGAGTACTATTAGAAACTGTGTTTATTTTATCGAGGGGTTTGAGGGAAATTTCAGCGAATAGTCGCTCGTATTCGCCCCACCTTACTGAATATTGGACACACCCCGATTCAACACTGTTCTGCCTTGATAAATAGTCGATCACCAATATCTAGGACGTTCGAGCGACCCTGTAATTTCCTCCCCGCGTTCTTTAACAGGGACTTACTCCGTCCAGGTACGAAGTACGGATCAGGTAGGTACATGCAGATCCCCCCTCCACCTGTCGCCCCAGCCCCCGCCACGCTACGTGTTAGTATTTTCTCTTCCATGTACAACGTGTAGGTAGGCAGGTATTAGGTACTTAGCTTGGAGTACGGAGTACGTACTCTTAATTTGCTGGAGTGGTCAAAAAAGTAGGGCCGCACCATACCGTTTATAGAACCATTCCCGGTCGGGGCCTCATGCTGTTTTCAACAGAAGCGTCATTCCTTCCGTGCCACAACTTCACAACTCGCACCCTGGAACTTTTAACCTCTCCCACCTGTACTTCTACTTGGTAAGGATACGGAAGTACGGAGTAATAATTACTATGTAGGCCGTTACGGCTCGCCTCCCGTCTTCTCTTTTTCTCAAATCTCCCAGCCCCTCGCTGCCTTCCTGCTACCGTCGCATCTCTATCCTAAGCCAGAACTATCTTGTCTGCCCTGCAGCATTTATTCGCCAGACGTCCGTCCCAAAACGGCAAACGATGGAAATGGGGAAACCTAGTTCTCACGCGATACTCCTCTGATTTTGTACCTGTGGCTTTCCCACTCAACCACGGCCAGACCGACCTCATCCTCAACCACAACGACTCGACTCGACTCGACTCTACTCTGCTCGGCTCGAAGGGCTGCATTATACTTCAGTAGCTCCAACCACCACCGATCGATTATTCCCACCACCGATATTACTACTCCATACTCAGTATTACGGAACCTCGAGATCCCCCGTGTATTTATTCTAGCTTTTAGCAACCGTTCCGCGCCACAGCGACGTTGCTGCAACAGTTCTCCTTGTCACCGCCCTCCAACTCAACCGTTTGGGGAGCCAGCTATTACCGACACTCGAGGCGGCCCATTCTACACACGGCCCCAAGAATCCCGGTCATTACAGTTCAGTCAGTGTTGCGATTTGCGCGAGCTCTCTCGCTAAGAAAAAAAAGGACTAAATTCTGGGGGCGACACTTGACGATACATGAGCCTCCGCAACAACGGGCGGGCTTCGTCTATCCGTCTTCCTGCAGCCGTCTCCCCGCTCTGTTCTCCGCTCTCCGGCCTTGATTCTACACTTCCGCTTCCGCATTCTCTTCTCAGGCCCATGGCATCGGCAGGAAACACCACCTGAACTGCGCCAAAACGCACTAATGCTTGCTATCCAACGTCCCAGAATGGGTTCTTCGCAGCCCTCGGACGCCAACCTACCCTTTGGGTGTATGTCTTCCCTCCTCTTCCTCCTCTTCCTCCTCTTCCTCCTCTTCCTCCTCTTCCTCCTCTTCCTCCTCTTCCTCCTCTTCCTCCTCTTCCTCCTCTTCCTCCTCTTCCTCCTCTTCCTCCTCCCTCTTGAAATATTGACTCTCATCGCTTCGTCTGTCCTTTCTGACCGAACCCCTCGGCCAGACTCCATCGATGCGTCACAGGACAGTTTCTTTGATGCCCCACCTGAACCGGCCCCAGGGGCCCCCCTCCTCTCCGATAATGACTCCAAAATGATCTCTTCTTTTTTCGATGACTTGACGTCCGGCCACTACAACCTCCCCTCGTTCGGGGAAGGCCTGAACCATAGCGATGCCTGGTTGCAGTTGCCTCCCCAGTTTATGGGCACCTCAACGTCTCTGGGCCAAACGTCGTCATTTCCGTTCCCCAGCGCTGACCTGCACCACCACGACTTTCTGGATATGATGTCCGTGGGTTCCGGGTTGATGGCTCCTCCGCCTCCGCCTCATGCTTCAGCGAATGCTCCCCCCCGGTCGTCCACCGAACCTCATCCTTCGGCGGAGGTTCTTGCTGCGGCCTCCGTGTTACAGAATGGCGCATCACCAAGAACGCCTGCAACGCCGTTACTCCCCTCGCGAGATATCCCCATGGGCCATTCAAGGCAGCATCAGCCGATGGATAGCTTCAGACGGCCAGACCACAGCAACACCTACACTAGTAACTCCGGCTTTGCTCAGGCACAGTACGTGAACGCTTTCCCCGATTTGCTATATGCGTCGGCTCCGGTCGAACGACAAACGACAGCATCATCACCGCAACAGAGCAGGCCCCAGGTTGAGATACAATGGGGTTCCGATTTGCGCTTCGGTTCCCAGAGCTTCATGCCCGAGTCGTCTAGGGAAACCCTGGATGCGATCTCCAAGGACCAGTTGCGCTACATCGAGTGCCTAGAACCTAGCCAGAGCGCCACCACCACCCGACTACCGACCCCGAACGACGAGGTCTCCTCTCATCGCGCCCCCCAGGATAGACAAGCGCCGGAAGCCACTCGAACGGAGGAGGTTCAGGAGGGGCCTCCTAGGAAACGGCGGAAGAGTCGGAATACCAACGATGATGCGGACGATGAGGAGGACGACGAGGACGAGGACATGGCCGGGACGATGTCAAAGGGCTCGAGGAAAAGGAAGTCCAAGAACGAGGTCGCGACGGCGTCCGAAAGCGGCGCACCCAGTCGACGACGCAAGCCCGGCGCCGCGGCGAAGCCTCCGCGAGAAAACTTGACGGAGGCGCAGAAGCGGGAGAACCACATTCGCAGCGAGCAAAAGCGGAGGACTATCATTAAAGAAGGGTTCGACGACCTCTGCGAACTGGTGCCGGGTCTCAAGGGTGGCGGGTTTAGCAAGAGCACCATACTCACCATGGCTGCCGAGTGGCTGGAAGACATGCTGCAGGGGAACGAACAACTCGCTGCGCAGCTGAGCGCCCTCGAGGGAAGACAATAGCGGTCGACATTCCACCCGCGCTAGGCCGTGTATCAGTAATTCGGACGTAACGGGCATTTTTCTTTTTTCTTCTTCTTTTTTTCTTTTCTTTGTTGTTATATTGTGCCCCCGAGCCTCGAGTACATCCAGTATTTGAGTTGGGTTCAACATCCATTGGGCGCAGATGGACGAAGGCCATGTTGGGGCATATCATTGGATTGGTGGGCATTGATTATGTAGTTGGCGCACTTGGAGGACCCCCGGGCGGGTGTGGCCGGAGGGGTTTGTTTAGTTGGCTTCGCCAATACGAGGCGAGATTCGGAAAGGGGTGGCCAAACCACCAAGGTGGGGAGAGGGATACAGGAATACCCCATGTTTGATGACAGCACCGGAGATGCCAGGATCAGTTGGATACGTGCCGCTGGTTTTCCCCGGCAACGTTGGGCGAGTCTTGTTTTCCTCGCCACGAGATCGGAGTTGTCCTGTATTTGTTCTAGCAGGGGGAGCTGAGGACGCAAGGAGCTAATGCCGACACGGCCGAGAAACTACACAGTATTTGCAGTCCTGACCTCACTACTGTACGTGGTATACCCGTACGGAGCAAGGTGCGAACATGGCATGGGCATGGTGTATGCCTTTCCCAGGCATGAGAAACGTAACCCTGTGCAGATAGGTGGAATATCATTATGACCAAGGAGACCCCCGGGCTTAGAGAAACGCGTGACACGCCATGCGCCTAGGCAATTCAAGGGTCTGCAAGGGAAGAGAAGAGTGGACGGAAGAGGGTGGAGGGGCTTGTTGGAGGGGTTAAGTGCCTGTACGTAAGGTGGTTTTTGCACTAACAATCTTCTTGGAAGCTTTTATCACTGACATGTGAAACCCCGAGGTTGTGGTATCCCGTAATATCCCGTATCCCGTACCTGTACAGGTTCTCCGAGCGGACAAGTGACTCGGAGCCGAGGGCGCCGGGATCGCTGCTGCTAAAACATGTTCACTCACATGCTGGACAGGTGCAAAAGAATCCATCCCATGACTTTCCAGAAACCATCGAAACCATCTTTCTCTCTCTGTTAATCGTCTCTCGGCGCGAGAGCAGCTGTAGTGACAGCGACTAGAAGTTGGGTCGATGCCCAAGTGCCCGACGTTTGTTTCCTGGGAATTGGTACCAGGGTGCCAGGAGAACCCTGGCCAAGAAATTCCCCTTATTTACTACCGTCAGCCTATGCCATGTAGGCGGTTGGGGATGGAAGGATGAGCATGAAGGCTATTAAAGCAAATGAGCCCCTGGCTCTATGGAACGTGCTAATAGCGCATCAGTTGGCTGGGACAATGCCCCTAGAACTGTCGTGCTGATGGGTGTCTGGTTGGGGGGATGTTGTATCTGGTTGGGTTGTTTCGGCAAGATCCCCATCCCAAGAAGCAGCAGCGGAAGTTTCGGGTTCTTGGGTCGACCGTTGGGGGGGCGGGTTTGAAGCGGACTGCTTGACGAGACTAAGAGGCCTCTCTTGGCCCTTTGCTTCATTCAGGGCGGTCATTTATTTGACTTTGCCCATGATCGTCTCTCCCGTGCGAGGCACGTCAAGCTGGGCTGCCCTCGCCTTGACGGCATTGAGCATGGCTCTCTCAAAGTCGTCCCGAGACCTAAGGACGGCCTCGACCCAGGTGATTTGCAAGTCCCAATAAGCCGTCTTAAATCTTTCAAACGCATCGGGGACTGCATCTTTCTCCACGGTGAGCAGTTGGAGGAAATACTCGGTGGCCCTCCACGTCTGTTTCACCGAGTTGCCGATGTCCGGGTTGGGCAAGCTGCTGAAGTAGTCGAAGGCGGTCTTGATGTCGTTGAAGATCTTGTCCTGGAACGGGTCCGCCCGCTTGAATTTGGCGCCCTTGTTCCGCACGGACGTCAGGTAGCGGACGAGCAGCTCGTCGGCGAAGATCTCGGTGAAGATATCGACGAGCGAATGGTGGAGGACCTGCCGGTAGTCGCCGACGTACTCCTCAAAGGTCACGGTCATCTGCTTCATGGCCGTGCTGGTGTACCACTTGGGGGTGAAGAAATCGGGCATGACCGCCTTGAAGTCGACGGCGAAAATGAGCCGGACGAATGTCGTGATGCACCACGTGCTAAAGTCAACGTAGCCGTCTCGCAGCATGAAGATCTCGCCGTCGGCACGCTCCATGTACGCCGGCGACACCAGAGGCTCGAACTTTTGCCGGAAGTCGGACAGATACCCGAGCCTGTTCTCCTCTTCGCTGTCGTCGATGCAAGCGATCTGGTCGTTGGCCGTGCCGACGAGCCAGTCCTGCAGGGCCTGGAACCCGTCCAGGTCCGGCGCCTTGCCCGTCTCGTACTTGACGGCCTCTTCCTCGAGCATCTCCTGCCAGGACTGCTGCCGCGACCGCAGGCGGAGGAACATGGCATCGATGACGCCCTCGACGACGTCGGCGCGCTTCGAGTTGGCCGCGGCGTCGACCTGTTCCCGCAACATCCGCCACATGTCGACCAGGTTCCTGGTGCGGAAGTAGCCGTACTCGTCCTGGTCCAGGTTGGACCCTTCGACGTTCCGTTCGGCGAAATCCTTCTTCTCCTGGGTGAAGATGCGGTCGATCCACTCGTCGAGGAATTTGATGATGAGTTGCCGGAACTCCCGGACGAGCTCGGCCTCGCGCGAGTCGATGACGTGGGGGGTAAGCTCGTCCTGCCGGAAGCCGAGCTTGGCCATCCTCTTGTAGTACTTGTCGGTGTAGCCGATAATCTCGAGCGTGTGGCCGGGGCTGGCCTCGGGATCGTCGACGATGCCGACAAGGAAGTCGCGCATGAGGCCGTGGTAGACGCGGCCGTAGGTCTTGAGGATGTGCCATTTCTTGGGCACCAACGGGGCCATGCCTATTTTGACCGCGTTAAGGTCGTTGAAATACCACTGCAGTGCCTGAGACAGCTGGGTCGGATCCTCGAGGAACTCGGCCCTGGCCTCGGAAAACTGCGCCTCGGCGTTGAGCTTGATGGCCTGGAGAAACTTTTCTTTGTACCCTCTGACCGTCTTGGCGCCGTCCGTGATGCTTTGAAACCGGGTGGCCATCTCCTTGTGGTCTTTCAAGGCGTCTTGTAAAGCGAGTACCCTCTGATCGCTCTTCTCCTCGGATTCGATGATGACGGCAAAGCGCACGACGAGCCCGTTGTTGTCGTTGACCACTAGGTTGATGAGGTTCAGGGCCAGAAGACCAATGTGGCTGTCGAACCAGTCGATCATGTCGTCGAGCCTCTGGAAGTAGTCCTCCAGGGTGGACTGGAGACTGGGGTCCTCTGCCCGCCGGATCTGTTCCATGGCGTCGTCGCGGATGTTTCGCAGTTGGGTGAGCTCGTAGTGGATGGGCAGCAGGTTCGGCATGTTCTCCTTGTCGACCTCGTCCTGCCGGAGCATGTCCTCGACTACGGAGAGGCGCTCGTTGAAGGTCTCGAGATTCCTGCGCATGGTCTGGACGGCGCCGAAGTTGCGGTGGGCTTGGGAAACGAAGTTGATGCTGGCGAAGTCTTTGATCATGTTCTGGGACTCGGAGCAGAGGCGGTCGATCTTCATCATCTCTTCCTTGATCAGCTGCACTGTTTTTTGGCCGTCGGTCAAGCCATTCATGCCGGATTGTGTGGTTTCGAGCTGATCGCGCAGACCACTGCGAAGCTGCAGGTCGACGGCATTCTTCTTCCGACTGAACTCTTGCTTCAGGCCGGCGATCTTGTCGAGGTCATCGGGATGTCGGAGGAGCTCGGAGAGCTTGGGCACTGCTGCGTCCATGGTGGCTGGCCAGAACCGGCGTAGCGGCGCGCATTACTGCCTTGAGAATGCACAGCACTGTCGAGGAAGCATTTGAATTTGAAAATCGGTTGTTCGAGGATCGGACAGGAATTCAGCTACGGTGCTGACTGGAGAGTTGTAGGAGCGTTG